AAATGGCGCCCCCTGAATTTGGCCACAACGCCATAAAACACCAGAATACGAGACGTGCTGTGTCTGTGCTCCAATCGGCCTGAAATTTTACACGCGTGCTCCGAGTCTCAGCCTGAGCGCGTTTCCACCGCGGCCAACACGCACGCCGCCACGGCTCGCCACGGCTCGCCACTAAACAGGAAGTGGCTCGTAACTAGGCCACACTTGCTCCGATCTGCCCCAACCTCAACATGCCGGATCACAGTCCCGCCCAGAGCAAGTTTGCGCCACACCCCGCCGTGCGCGAAGACCGACAAGCGTAGGGCGAGGACCCATCCATCGCCACTTGAGGCTTTAATTTTGTTTTCACACTTTTGGCAGCATGTGAAAAGCAACTTCGATTTCTTTAAAACACAACATACAGAGGCCAGGAAGTTGTGTCCTGATTGGTACAGTTTCTTCTTTATCAAACCTGTCAGCAATCAAATTAGCCTTTCAAGTCTTTCTTATTTTGTTGGTGATAAATAAGCTGAAGTACCTCTCTATTATCACTCTTTAAAGTTGTTTGCATATCCAAAAAGCTTACCTTTGGTTCTCTGGCAAACAATTTTTCACTGTTAACCCTGCTTAAAGTTCTCAAACTTGATGACAGTTGATATATTTTGCTCTTTACTGTTAATGTTTCAAAAAGCAAACTGCTTTCGTGCCATCTTTCTGAGATACTACAAGACAATAAGCTCCTGCCTGAGGTCATATGCGTCACGTAGGTCTCTGTCATGGTGCCCTTTGCTTGCTAAACCCCATAATGTTCTTTGCTTGCCAACATGAACTGCCTTAGGTCCAAGTGGCCACCTTCTCGGGTTCCCGCTGTATTAAAGAGGCTACATGTGCTGAGGACAGGTTCTACAGTGTTGTCTGTCTGTGACTTCATGTTGTATTGTTTTGTTATTTGCGAACAGGTCTCTCTTGAGAATAAGAACCCGTATCTGTTGTGGGACTTTTAAAATTGAACAAAGGACAAAACTGCAGATATGACTAGGATGTTTATATCTGATTTAAGCTTAAATCAATAAGACTAGAAAATATGATGTGTAAACTGAATACATGAATACACTGAACTTCTGTGTAAAGTGAACCCAATGAAAAGCCTCTAGAGTACAGCAGGCCAAAGCACAAGCTTTCTGCATATGTGGGTGAGGTGAAATCAGGTTACCAGGGCCTTAAGTTGGGTTTTCATGAGTAGGAGGAGAGTTGGGAGGAGTTTGCATAAGTATATAAGGAAATGTATTGCATTGTTAGGTCGTTAAACTCTCAAGATTTTGCTCATGTTTGTTCTTACAGCCTCTGTATTGAATAAATATTATTCACATCACATTTCCAAACTGAAGACTTTTTCCTTGAAAATCTTTTTTGAAGTCTCAAATATTTAAACAAGAAGTGATTTTTTGACTACACGTTTGACGAAGTTGCAGTTTAGTCTACACGTGCTGTCACAGCACGTCATTTTACAGATTACGCAGAAACTAGAGATTTATCAGGTCAGGCTTGATGAGTTGGCACATGTGATATACCTGAATCTCTATATGCCTGGGGTTGTCTATGTACTTCTCAATGAGTAGCCGGTCATCTCCAAAGCTGGATGCTGCCTCTTGAGATGAGAACCGGAAACCTTCCCTGAAACAAAACACAAAAATTGCAGCAGTTATAAAGACTGCAAATACAAGCATCAGTATTTTTCAGTGGTCTGTACGTACGCAGTAGCAAAAGCAGTTGTGCAAATGTAAGTACATCTATGTATTTAAGTGTTTACATACACTCAGCATCCACTTTATTAGATACACTTGTTCAACTGTTCCTTAACGCATATTTCTAATCAGCCAATCACATATTGGCATCTTAATGCATCTAGGCATGTAGACATGGTCAAGTCGACCTGCTGAAGTTCAAGCTGGACATTAGAATGGTGAAGAAAGATGACTAAAGTGACTCTGAACATGGCAGAGTTGCTGTTGCCAGACTGGTTGGACTGACTATAGTTCCTCTTGATCTTAGCTAGGTTCTACAAAATGCTTCACAATGTGTCTCTTATTCATCCATTCATGCAGACTTGCACACCAACATAGTGGCTGTGCTTAGCGTTTAAATCCTGAACCCAGCTTGTTTCACTTAGTGGCTGTAATTTTCAGCAGTTGAACTGTTTCTTTCTGAAGGCAGTGCAAACTTGTCCTATGTTTTCAGCCGGGCCTCTGGGACAGTTAAAAGACCTTTGCCCGAGGATCGTAAGGAGCGTGGTGGAGAATATGGTGTTAAAAGGTTGGCAATGTAAATAGGACAGCGACCGTTGGGTGCTTCAAAAGTGATTAATAAAATCTTAAAATCGATCGTAAAACTTACTGGTAGCCAATGTAAAAGAGCTAAAACAGGCGTGATGTGCTCACATTTCCTTTTCCTGGTTAAAAGCCTGGCAGCAGAGGTCTGTACTGTCTGTAATCTGTCCAGAGATTTCTGATTAAGACACGTAAAAAGGCTGTTGCAATAATCCAGCCGTAAGGAAATAAAAGCATGTAAAATCGTCTCTGTATCTTTAAAAGTTAAATAAGAACGAATCTTTGAAAAACACACCACAAAACATGTGCAGTCATGTTATCATCTTAGAAATATTTCTAAGTTCAAGTTAAAACCAAACCAGACGCCGAGATGCCTTGCAGCAGGCTTAAGGTTTTCCACTGGCAGGCCAGCAGATGGCAGAATTTGTTTTCCCATCTTCTGGGACCCGATTACCAAGAAGTTCTCTGACATTCAGTTTCTCACCTCCACGACAGTCATTTAAAGCACTCAACTTCCCAGGGTCGGTGGCCTTAAGGGCAGGTACAGCTGCGTGTCATCAGCATAAAAATTAAATAAAACACTGTGTCTTTGTATTAAGAATATGAAACCACAGAGAACTACAATACCTCGTCTCATCATCATTCCAAGCAATCCTCATTCCTTTCCCTCCTCCTCCTGCCGATGCTTTAATCATAACTGGGTAGCCTAGCAACAAAACAAAAACAAAGGTTACAAAAAAGGTGCTTTTGTGTGAACACATACACACACATAGATCACAGAAGTAAAATTGAGGAAGCTTGAGGCTGGCTGCTGCTGCTCCAAGACAACGTACCGTCCAAACAGCACAGATGGCAGAAACAGCCAGATGTGGCTTTGAGCTGTTGCCACAAACACTGTAATCACCCGACTTGCACCGTCTGACCCAAACCGAAATCCCACTTGCTAGTGCATTACTGTTAAAGGAGACTATGATGAAAAATAATTCATGAGTAGTCTTTCTCCTATGATGTTTTCTGGTGAGGCCAAAAACGTTTTGAAGCACCCACATTAATGAAGCCTAATTAAGCTTTTGAAATGTGCTTCCCAACAACAACAATAACAACCTAAATCTGTTAAAAACATGCATGTTATTTTAAAAGTTAAATCCACACAAATAAACCAACAAATCCAGCAGTTCTCCAACATTTCTGCCAAGAAGAATGTTTAAAGTTCCAACCAGGATTCTGACAGAAACGTATTAATAACAGTACTAACTAGAAAAGCACTTTGAGAGCACAGACCTCCACCAAGCAGCTCATTGTTACCATGTTGTGATTTCCAGCCAACGTTAAAGTTCTGCATTCATTTTATCTACACTATTAGATTCATGGATAATCAAAACATACCTTTAGCATTTGAATTAACATTGATATAATTAATAACAAGCTGACGGAGTGATGAACGATCGTTCTGTACTCTCAAATATTTTGTACACTTACGTTATTTCTGCACTTACTGGCTTTTAAGCTGTTAGCTACTGCTATGCTAGGTTGGCATAACTACAGCGATGTTATCGCTAACATAAACAGACAGGGAGTAACTTAAGCTAGGTTAGCACAACTTTAGCAATGCAACATAAATGAAAAGCATGACCAATGCAACAAAGCACGGTCAGTCGTCGTAACACATGGCAAGAGAGTTAAAGTGAAACAGGAGACCTCTTGAGTCATTGTTAATGTGACAACGTTGTTCTGAATTTATCTGTCAGTAGCTTCCCTTAGCCCACTCCTGTAATGCTGCCTGGCTGTAGCTTACTCCTGTGCTACTGAGAAGACAGCGGGAGGACTGAAACACTGGAGTCAGAGCTCCATCTAGTGGACAAATGGCACAAGGACAGCATTCTATGCAACTGTGACACTTAAGAGCATTTACCGTTTTATGAGAGAATAACGAGACAGTACGCCAGAACATCACCAAAATTTAATCACCTGGTTACTGTGCCATTATCAACATTTCCTGAAAATTTCAGGAAAATTCGTCTATTAATTTTCGAGTTATCTTGCTAACAAACAAACAAACCAACAAGCGTCAGCTAAAACATAACCTCCTTGGTGGAGGTAATAATAACAACATCAGCTTGTACTTATATTCATGATAACCAAAAGGCAAAAGACTAGGCTAAAAAGAGTTCAGTAACATACAACCAAAGTGTAGCTGTGCAGCATGTGTTTTATGACCCATTACATTTTGTTATGTATAACAGAAACAAAACTTTTTTGTGCACCTTCAAAAAAAGAAGAAAAAGGTGCAAACATTAATATCCCCAATCTGCCTTGACATCAGTATCCCTTACAAGTGTATGTACATTTCTGATCACAACAATAAGTCCTCGTAATGACAAAACACATCCTCTGGGTCTGAGATAGGAGGAGGGGCAGAGTCAGATAGACAGGAACCACATTCTGTATTATCAGAACTGAGGGACATTCTGTTCTGTCACTCATAGTAATACAGACTGTAAATATTTAGTGGAAAGTGATGACTTACCGATTTCCTGTGCAATCTTCACAGCTTCCTCTGCAGTCTGACACACAGAAGAGTTATGGTTACAGATAATGAACCAAAGACAAGTCTTTACTAACAACTATGTTGTGATGGACTGTACATTATATTGTTTCAGCATTTCAGTCATTGTCACATCGCCGGCAGTGCAATGAGGAAATGTAACTCAAACACATTATACTGCAACTGTTTTTATTGCTCATTACAAAAACAAAACCTGCAGGGTTCCTATTTTCAATGACTAATCTGCACGAGAAATCTGTCTGATATAATTTAATCTGATGCAAGGATTTTGGGATACACAGACTTTTTTAAACTATTTTGAGGCAGGTTGCACATGTGCACAGCAAAATGAGCAGGTAACGGGAGAGAAACACTGAAAAAGAAGACTTGCTTGCAAAAAAGTAAATGTAACATTTGTTGTAGGGTTGTACCATTAATGGAATATTAATCATGATCATGATTTTAGCATCTCACAATTAAATAATATTATGGATTGTGATACTGATGCTGGAAATATATCCTTTGCACATGCAAAACTCCACTCATGGAAAACTATTTTACTCTTTACATATACATTTTTGCTCACACACCTGTCTAAGTTGCCGTGCTGCAGTAACTGAGTGGGGAGACAACAGACTTCTGTATGCTTGGCACTGCAGCTGCCTAGCCAGCTTCTACTGCAGCCTGCTTTTAAGGCATTGAGGAAATCATATTCATAATATGTTCTGCAAGATTATGCAAAAATATTTTGTTTTGTCATCTCAGTATTGATCAGAATAATAATTGTTATCATGTTTGCCATAATCGTGCAGCCTCAGTTAGGTGTATGGAAATATTTAGACAACAGGTTGAAGCTGACCAAAAACAGGGACTCTTTCAGCAGCATCTTGGGCCTTGTCCACATGTAGCAGGGTATCTCACAAAACGAAGATATTTTTCTATGATTAGGCCTGTCATCCACATGAAAGTGCAGATTTACAGCATTAAACAACGATTCTTTCAAAAACCTCTGACCAAAGTGAAGATTTGTGAATCCTCTGTTTATGCGTCTGTACGTGGACATCAATAAACAGGGTTTTAGGTTTCAAAATGTCACTGCCTGCAACAAAATATGTTCTAACATCACATCACCTGGGTTTACATTCGGAAACAGCATGGATGCCCTCAAAACTGTGTTGCCGTTGTCTCTTATCCAGGCGCATGTTTGTTTTTACAAGCCCAGATTCTGCTCCATGTACAAGAACACAGGCGAAGGACGATGTTAAAGACGGTTATTTTAGGACATCAAGAGACAGAAGCTTACTCTGATTGAATAGGATTTGGGGAACTACTGTCACCTAAAGGTTTGGCGTGCTTATGAATGTGCTTAACAACACACTTATGTGGTTACATGTGGACGTTTTTGGTTTTTTTTTTCTAAAAACGAGGTGGTGTCTAGAGGGGAGGATATTTGGTTTTATAAAAACCCTGCTACGTGTGGACAAGGCCTTAGAATTCTTGTGGCTACACATGGCAGCATAACTCGTGTGCTTGACCATTTAAATCAGCACCACAAAGATCTGTATGATGAATTAAATTTCCAAACAGCTGTTTTTCAGCTTTTTATAATTTATTAGATGCTGATGGACTCCTCTACAAAATCGCCCTAATCTGGTGAAAAGTCCTGTATTTAAGCAAAACATCACTTTTTTCCAGTAACATTGCAACCGCTTACTCAGAGGGAGTCCAAAAGCAACTTTGGATTGTCAGGTTCTCTGTTTAAATTTGTACAGTCTATAACTTACTATGTTAAGCGTCGTGAGATGGCATATGTTGTAAACTGTGGTATACAAATAAAACTGACTTGACTTGGCATGCGGCCTCAGCTGTAATTACAGACATTTCTGACCCCCGCCCCACGCCTTGTTGACTGGACGGGTAACAATTCATGCTTTAATGCAAAATTAGTCCATTATGGCTTACTGCACTGAAGTGAGCCACAAAACGGTGCACTCATGAACTAAACCTGAGCCAGGGAGAGATTTATAGTCTGTTGCAAGTAAAATTAGTTATTTTTTAGCTGTGTGTAAAAATTTGTATTTTATTTATTTGGTAACATCAAATCAGATCATATGTCATCTAAAGGCACTAATATGCATTTAATTTATTTGTTATTATTATAGTCCCTCTGATTCAATCCTGACTCGTCGGAGTCCCTTCCCACATCCCTTCAACCTCCAACAAGGAAATCATAAAGGGTCTCTTTATGCCGTTCCCTAGTGATGGGAGATGAGGTTTCATGAAGCATTGTGGCACATTACCCAAACTGTATTGATACTGCGTAGGTACTGTGTCACTGTGTTGCTCAATACTGACACCTGCTGGATTTTAAAAATCTCTACAGGCAACTTAGTTGACAGGCTCAACTGACATACTGATTTAATGTCCTAGTATATACAATAACATTATTTATATCTTATTTTATATCTTAATTTAGTTTAAAATATATTTTATATATTTAAAATATACAGTCAATAAATAATGTGAACATGTGTCATAATGTGAAAATCCAAGTGAAAGTGTTGTGGATGTGAGGATGATTATGTACTTGTTTTTGAGGCAAGGAGGGCTTTTTAAACAAAACAAAAAAAAGAATTCTTTATTCAAAAAAAAAATCAACTGTTGCAATGTCTTGGCATTAAGAAGATATGTTTTTTTTGATGCAAATTCTCCAGGAACAGGATTAAACAACAAGGAAATAAGAACAAATACCTTATTTGCTGATATAAGATCAAATGGTCCCACACAACGGTAACCTGTTGCCGGACCCATCACTACTGTTCCATTTCTATCTAGTCAAAGACTCATGGCAAGTGTAGATTTACAATTTTTTTCTGGATTTTGTTCCTGTTTTAAAATTGTCCTATTGATTTCATTTTTAAAACTGTGATTATGGTAGAGCCCAAGAGGACAGTTTCTCCCGAGATTTCATCTGCTGCACTTGCTCCTGTAGTGTACATGCATTGCTGTGTCTGTGAGTCATACCTTGACGACCCCATCAAATCCTGGGATAGTGTTGACCTGAGCAGCCTTAGCAATCAGCTTACTCTCAATTTTATCTCCCATTGCCTGGATAGCATGCGTGTCCGGGCCGATGAATGTCACACCCTCGGCTGCCTAGCCACAAGACAACAAGATAACTAAAGCATACCACAGTACTACCAGAGAAAGAACAAAGGCCTGATCTCCCACCAGACAACAGGACTACATCCACTGTCCTCACAACACAGTATGTTTGCACTTAGTATTTCTGTTACACATTATTGTAAAATAGGAAACATATTTACAACAAACTTACTTTTGTAATGGCTGGTGTAATTGGAACATGTTCTAATAACAAGTCATAATATGTTATGTCAGATAAACTGTTGATACCTAAAATTGCTGACATATCCAAAATAAAACTTGTATTTCTTAGCTGAACAAAAATAAATCAATTCATACCTTTGCACCTGTTATCAACTAATTAATGACCCATGGTAATGTTTGTGCTGAGAGGAAACTAGTGTGTAACGGTTTGTAAGTATTACTTACCAGTCGCTTTGCAAACTCTTTGTTTTCAGAGAGAAACCCATAACCAGGATGAACCTTTACAAAAAAACAAGTCAAATTAATTTCTCTCAAAGAAAAAGCAAAGCTTTTTTGAGAGTCTATAAATTAACAGTAGAAACATGCATAAAATAATATCAACATCTCATTAGATGGATTAATGCTGAGAAGCTGTTACTCATCTATACCAACAATCACACATGTACAAGGTTCAGACAACTCTTGACACAGCTCTGTTAATGGAAATTAAGTAACATGATTCCTCGTCTTGACGTGCATGTGCATCTAATACAGAGAATGCATGCAGTGTTCCACAGTCACAGTGTGTAATAAGCGCAACATAAATGCTTACAGCCTGTGCTCCAGTCACTCTGATGGCATCCATGATAGCATCCATGTTCAGGTAGCTCTTACTGGTGGGGGCAGGGCCAACACAGATTGCCTCATCGGCCATCTTCACATGAACCTACATACAGACACGTGGACAGGGATATTTATTGTTAAGACCCACATTACTAATTTCCATAAAAGATGTCTAGTTATAGTGCATTGTATTTAAGCAATAGGTTTCTACAGGCTACAAATGACGTGACAAATACAGGTAGGAAACTGTGCTTGAGCTTCTGTTTGTTCCTTCTCGATTACTTTCCCATGCTTATCATCTTTCAGAGTTTGAAAGACACATTCTGGGGACATAGGAGACTTTCACTAACGAATTGAAAAGGAGCACAATATGGGATCTTTAAAGCACTGACTGCAGGCCATCATCTGCTGCCATAGCGTCCTCCAATTTCAACCCGTCAGTCAGTGTCACATGGCAAGCGGCAAGTGGAACATCATGGTACTTAAGTACTGTTTTGGGTTTTTTTAAGTTCTGGATCTACTCCCATCATAAAACTACCACCTTGGACACTAAGCAGAACAGAAAAACCCACTCGTTCTCAGGAAGAACAACCATTAATGTCACAAAAGAGAATGACAGCAGGAGCCTGTTGTGATCAACTTCGCTATTGGTACTCCACTGGAAAAATGGTGTTGCATGCATTTTCTTACATCATGGACGCTCATGCCTGAGGCATGAAACAACAAGTGGAAACCAACACTTGGAAACTCCACGCAAAAAGATCCCAGGTGTCCTCACCGGGACACGAACCGGTGACCTTCTTGCTGCGATGCAACGGTGCTAATCACCAGGCCACCTTGCAGTCCCATATCCAACATTTTACATCAAATTCTTATTTTTGCAGCATAGCCTATGCTATTTCTCATGGGATATATGTATGTCACTGTTCTTTCATTTCATGTTCATAGGTCATGGTGAGAGAAGGATTTATCGCGTTCGCGTATGTAGTACATTTTCTTAATTTAAGTCAAGAAACGCAGCCTTTTCCCCTCTTGATAACAAAGAGAGGAGGGTTAAGTTACCAAAAGTCACGGCAAAATCCTCTCCACGCCTTCAGTATACGCCCCCTGGACCGAGGAGAGTAAAAGTAGGAAACTGCTTTTGTTCTGGTCTTTTGTCTTCTCTCTCGTTTAGTTTTTGTTTCTTACTCTCTTGTTCCATTTCTTTGTTGGCATTTTTCTTTTGTATTTATGTATCTTCATTTTTATAGTTCTTCGTTTAAGTCTTCGACTTCATTTTGTTTTAAAGATAGTGCCTTCATAGAAAATTCAAATGCACACGTTTGATTCTGTCAAACCAAGCTGACAAGAATCAGTAGAAATTCTATTTTTGTAACAGATCAATTACACCGTGCCTTCGCTCTCAGTTTCCAAAATTCTTTTTCTGTGTTCGGCTAATATCAAACGTGGCCGAAAGCATAACGAGAGCCATCGTTTATAGTAAAGTAACTTTTTAATCAACTCTGAGGAGCGTGCACACCGCGCACGGGACGCTGATTGCCAGACAGAACCACTACCGTGTGCCAGAGTTGGAAGCCGCTGATGGCCTCCAACACTGCGCCTCTGAGCTCCATTGCAGAACTCATTGCCGGCAACCTCATGACACTTCAGGAGCAAACCGCCTGGATCCGTAGTAAATAAGGGTCTATTCATCAACAACTATTCCAGCCAAAGGAGATTCCATTCCCATCAGTGCTGCACAAAGTAGGCAAAGGCAACCTTTCTATCTGCTCCTGATCGGGTTGATGTTTAAACTATTTAACAGCTCACAAGCATATCGATCATAAACCAAATTATTATTCACTACCGTTAGATCGTTTATTAACCATCCTGCTCTCACCACAATCCTCATTATTTGACTGGGTAATCTGACAACACGGCCACTACACACACTCCGATTTTCATTGTTTGAAGTTCCTGTGTATTTTAACAGAATAGTTAATAAACCTTCCTTATTCAGACCAATTCACGGTTTTGTGTCTTTCTTTGTGTGGGAACTGAGGTCAATTTAATCAGAGCTTACGACATTCAGATAACAGACTGATAAATGTAATTTCAAATCAAGTCTCTTTGAGATTTTATTTCAAATAATTCCTCAGTAAACTGAGGTTGTGCCCCTAAATCAATGAGTGCAACTGAACTACAAAGCATAGTTCTAACATACGCTACATTCTGCTGGATGTTGGTTTGATTTCAGACAGAACTGATTATTTCTCCTTGGTGCCCTGGATGTTTAATATGAATTGTTAACTCAAATTTCGATCAAATTGGAACTGAGTTTGGCCAATATATGACTTTAACTTGTAAGACTTTTCAAGTATTGAATTTTCATTGAATATTGAAAAATAAAAGAGCAAATAAGTTACTGAAATTTGAAAGAACTCTTCTTTAGTCTCCAGTACAGTTTATGCACTGCGGACAGCATGGGTTCGCTGTAGTGAAGCTCACTACCAGGACCTCAGTGTGCCTCGGTATGGCTCTCTCTTGCTATAACAAACTACTTTACAACACCCACACTAAAACTCCCTATCACCCACTCGTATGTTTCCTGGGAAAAAAAAGAGTAGACAAGTTTTTCAGTTCCCTCTGTTCCAAGGATGAACACAAAGGATGACTCACAGCACTGGAGTCCACGTCACTATGAACAGCTACAGTCTGGATACCCATCTTCTTACATGTCTTAATCACCTGATGGAAAAGCACACACAATTAATACTGACGCTTCAATCTACAGTCAATGTCAAATACACCAGCTTGTAAAAGTTGATGTGTAAAGGCAGAAATGCACCCTTAACAAATGTGGGGTTGTGTGAGGTAGGGGTACTGGAAATAATGGAAATGATTTTGAAAAAAAAAAAAAAAAAGCTTCTGCACAAACAGTGTGGCAACACATGCATTTACACATTACATTTTGACAAACTTAACGGCAACGATGGTAGTCTGCTAACACTATGAGAAGCATTCGACTTATGTTATGAGCTACTACTGCATGAGCCTGAGGATGAGAACACTTGCTGTTGTAAATGCTGTTGGTGGTGCACTGCTGCAGCAGACGCCACTGGTACAATTTGGGAACACTGAAGTGTATGAGCATCTTGCAAACATACCGATGTATGAAACATATTAATGATGACCGTCATCTACTCTATGACTAAATATCATTTACTAAAAGATCTTTGTGTAGATCAGGAAGCTTATCGTTCAGGTAGCTTTAAGGTCTTTTCACCTTTTGTTCAAAATGCTCTGTAATACCATTGGCACACTGGCTTTTGGTTGTCAATAACTTGTCACCTGTGTCTTCCTCTGTACACAAGTTGCAGCAGCACTGTTGCTGCACCTGCACTTTCCACGTGTTATTGTTCAGGATCTCTGATAACTACACAGTACTTACAACTTGGCATCCCTACTGCTCAGCTTCAGAAGCTGTTCAGCTTCAGTGAGTCTATTTGTTTCACAGTAATCCAACAAGCATTTCAGTAGGATTTCAGTTACGGTACATATTTGTGTGTCAGTCAGTCTTACCCTGCAAGCAATTTCTCCTCTATTAGCGATAAGGATCTTATCAAATGTCTGCGGAAGAAAAACAGCAGAAAATTTAGCACCCTTTGTCACTTACCTAACGAGGACTTTCTTTACTTCACTTGACTGTCAAAGAAACAAGTAGCAACCAAAACACTTTCTTTACCCTCTCGCTCCTGAGCAAGGCTTTTATTTTTACACATCAAACCCCTTCTCTTTAAAAGGTTACATTTGTACAGTTTCTTTACTGTCAACAGCTGATTATTGAAAACCTCAAGTGTTACTTTTAAACAGACAGAAGAAGACGACAGTTACGCATTACCTTTTCACTGGGATTGTACGCTGTGGAATATTGAGCCTTGCTATGCACTGTGCAGCATCTGGACTGGAGTGAGACATACTGCAAAATACACACAAACACACCATATTAGGCTGGTACAGACTTATTTCATTTCATTCATTATGTTATTCAGCTGGGGTTGCTTTAACTACTCTGCGTAAGGCTGTAGTATTTGACTAGAGTTAATACAATGAAACTAATTTCTGGCTTTCTTTATTGATTCAGTTATCTTTGCTTTCACAAGTTTTCAGCTGCCACACACATTAAGGTATGTTATCATTGTTTCTGGTTCAATGTAAAGTAAGTTGGTGAAATAAAGAGTTATACATGAATTGGGCATTTATCGGTCTTTGTCTGATTTCATTCTGCACTGGAAAGGATTTAACCACCGCCACTATCATGTGCACACTGCTTAAACCAGCAAATTCTGGCATCTGATTTTTATATAGTTTTCAGTTCAGTCTTTTTTGAATAGGTCTAGTTTTTTTTAACTGACAGAAATCATCTTGTTAAAGTACATTGTTTAAACACTAAACATGAGTGCAGGTTTACTCAAAAAAATCCCGTTTTAATGTGTTAAATATGTTGTGATGACCCCTGTGATTTACACAACAACAAATGACTGCTGAGGGAGAATGTTAGTAAGTTAAGTAATCAGTTGTTATTTGCTGAAAAGGGGCGCAATATGGGAAGTTTAAAGCTGCAGGCACTGAAACAGCCTGCTGAGAACAGGGCTAAAACTACAGGTTGTGCAGTTATTGTGAACCATCTTTGCAGTAATTTGAGCTGTAAATGGAAAGATATATTCTGGAGATATGCAAGACTTTCATGCATTTGCTGAAAAGGGGCACAGTATGTGTATGGTGACTCTGGATGCCAACGCACAGTTATAAAATCAGAGTGCAGTGGAGAGCAGAAACATGGGAATGACTGCTGAAGTTATGACAATGTCAAGATCAGCAGGACAGAGGTAGAGCGAGTCGAGAACTTCAGATACCTGGATGTCAACATCACGCAGGACCTGAAGTGGTCCTGTCACATTGACACCCTGGTAAAGAAAGCTTGACAGCATCTCTACCTCTTCAGATGCCTGAGGGACTTTAAGCTCCCTCTCATGGTGCTCAGGAACTTTTACACCTGCACCATTGAGAGTGTTTTGGCTGGGAGTATCACCACCTGGATGGGCAGCAGCACCCAGCAGGACTTCTTGGCCCTGAGGAGGGTGGTCCGCTTGGCTTAGCGCACCATCAGAACCACCCTCCCCAACCTGCAGGACATTTACACCAAACGATGCAGGTTAAAGGCCAGGAAGATTGCAGTGAGCCAAACCACCCCAGCCACAGACTGTTCTCTTTGCTGGCATCAGGGC